GGAGGTTAGATCCATGTTCATTGAAGAGGACGAAGGATCCACGAATTCTCCTGGAAGTCGAAGTGTCGTTCCATAAACGAGTTGAACCGCAGAGTATCCAATGTCAGCTTCGACTGCATTGCGAATACCTAGTAGGACGAGTGGAAGAGTTTTAAATGGGTTAAAGAACATTTGTTGTGTCTGATGACCTTAGATTTTTGGCGGTTTACACAGGAGCGTGCCCACTTTCTCACGTCTTTATTCATACCAAACCAACAAAACCTTTCTACTATAAGCTTGATGGTTACACGAACACCTGGATGAGAAAGTTTGTGCAACGTAATGAAGATGTTGCGTCGATAATGTTCCGACACGATTGGGCGATCTCCACCTGTAGGTGTATCTTAAAGTAAGGTCTCCTTACCTGTTCTCATCTGTTCGATGCGTAGTTTAAGGGTTGTGGACTATAACTCGTGTTGAAGATCAGTGTCTACTTTTTGAAGCTGGGCGAGTTTAAGAAAGTCGATTCCTTGGAAGTTATTCGAGACAATGCGACTGAAACTACATTGTCTGCTCCAGAAATGTGTTGAATATCTGCAACAACGAAGATCCAGTGAATGGGTTTGCGTAAACCCATGTTAAGGTAAATGTAGCTTTTGCCTTACGTAGCGATAGGCTTTCCGTTTTTCGCCCGTAGGTTTAAAGCCGATTCGTTAGGCTGGTCATTAGAATTCGCCGGGAGAACGCTTACTTCTGCGCCAGTGTCGACGAGATAACGAACTCTCGTTGTCACATCTGTGACGTATAACAGACGGCTATGTTCGCCGGCTACGGTTGCCGTTAACGCGTGCCGACTTGGAAGTTTCCCGAGTTGTTTTTCGAGTGAGTCGGTTTTGTGTTGGGAAAATCGCAGGGTTTTCTGCAATTTCTGGAAGACTTTCCATACTGGTTATGATACCAGCACCAGTCGAGATTATCCGTCTCTCGTGGTCTAGAGACAGATCGCTTACGTGAGGTGCCTCTACATGGGGTGTGTGATCGCTTACGGTCGTTACGAAAATTAAGATAACCCTTAATTGCATGACATAATTCTGTTATGTCATTCTGGGTCGTTTGAGGCTTTTCTTTGACTGAGAAATTCTTGTTATTAGATTTTGTGATTGCAAAAATGCGGTTGGCAGACGCAGCTAGCTCGTCTAAGGAGTTGTTGTGGAACGAGAAAAGCACAACTTGCACCAGTTGAGGAAGTTTCGACAAGAAAAGTTGTTGAAATAGGCCATCATCGAAAGTTGTTTGGCCGATAACCTCTCTCACTCGTTGCAACATGTCCGTCGCAGAGCCGTGTTGCAGGTCGATGTTATTGAGGAGTTGGTCTAACCTTTGTCTATCGGTCAGGTCTCTGCGTTTCAGAATAGAACGTTTTAGCGTTTCGTAAGGTTCGGAAACATCACTAGTAAACATACTAGGTGTTACGTACCTGCTGAATTCTCGCGGTAGTGCCTTGACTACTGCGAGGAACTGTGCGCTTGTGTCGATATCGGCGTGCTCGTGGAAGTCTGCTTCTGCGTAGCAAAACCAGGCTTCAATGTTGTCTGGCCAGAAGGGCATCATTTGAAACGAAGGTGGGGGCAAGATCTTAAGCTCAAATAATTTGGGTGTCTGTTCAGTCGTGATGAAATATGAACTTCGATAATGAATGAGGGAAAAATATATATATCCAAAAAGCACGAAAAAAATATCCCAGTGTATAAAAAATTAAGATAGGGCAATGATTTATAGAATCTCAAAAAGGAACAGACTCACAGTTTACGATTTGTTGGGCCAGATCACGTTAGGCTAACCAATGAAGATACCACAGGTATTCGGATTTGCCAACGCTTTAATCAGTAACACCTATTATGAAGAAGTACCCACCAAGTGAAATCAAAAGACAGAAGCGAGGAGATTGGAAGATATATTTGATAGACTATCAATATATCGAGAATCGTCTGACCTAATCTGGCTAGCGATTGCAGGGAATGTTGAGGACGGCGTTCCCACTCGTGATCTGATGTGGATGCATGACCGAGCGCCTTCATCTAGGTGAGTCCATTAAAACATGTGGTCAGCATCCAGGTTCTATGTCTGCTGTGATGACCATACAACACAAACGAGGTTATTACGGAAATATATTAACAAGAGACGGAGTAGGGAAGGAAGTGAGGCTACCATCACATAGGTCGGTTCATTGCAGGCAACGAATTCGCAGCTCTTGCCGTAAGAATAATCCCAAACGAGTTTATGACCGCAGAAACATTATAGTCCAGAATAACGGTAAGTTTCTGGAGTATTGTCTTCATCATTTGACAATAAAAGTCGAAAACTTGAAGTTAGGCAAGCAATGGTTGAAATAAAGGTACTGGGAGATAGCCCATAGTTTGAAATGGAGTAAAATGTCGAATGAAGAAACAAGACGGAGAATCAGATTTAGATAACTGTTCAGTCTTTGCTTACATATCCAGCCAATATGTGTCTGGGTCGATTCTGGGTCATATTTTCTAGTGGCTGATGCTTTAACAAGTCTATTTCACTGAAGCATTTAAATGCTATCAAGGATTGTTTATGAACCTTAAAATGGTACGAGCATTAGGAGTTCGACAACACCTTAACCAGGAACATATGTTATGATCGAAATGTGGGAATCCGGTGAAATCTGAAGTCAAACACGAACAGGTTCGAAGATATATTTGATAGTCCATCGATATATCGAGAAGTGATCAATCTAAGCTGGCTTGCGGTTGTAGGAGATGTTTAGCACGGCGTACCCATTCGTAGTCTGGTGAGGATGCATGATCGAGCATCTTCAGCCGGGTGAGTCCAGTAAAACTGATGCGATCAGCATCAAATGTTAAAGGTTTACAGAACAATTGATTTTGAGGATTTATTCACCGCTACAGATCAGTCTCTCCTAGTGGGGTAGTGATGATCCAAGAAGTGTCCAGTCAGAGGTTTGTCAATAGTAAACACTCTTCTGATAGCTTGCTAGATTCAGAAGTGTCTGGACGTCCTCCTTTACCATAAAGGGCTATGCGGCACAATATAGCAATGAGAGACAGGTACAATGAAACGTCCGATTCACCGTAAACTTGGTCGTTTTTCCACTTTTTACAGATGTCCTGGAAAAGAAAAAAGGGTACGTAAGTGCATGTCTATTCCTATAATAGTTATATCAACATCGTTCATAGCTGGGCTGCTAAAGTACCAACTACAGGGTCAGTTTTTATTACTAGGGAAGCCATGTACCAATTACTAACCATACTTAAGTCTAATAAGCCACGGGGCCCTGAGGACTTACACCCTAGTTCACTACCACCCCTCTCAAACATTTTGAAATCATTCACAGTAGTGTTCAGCATGTCCCTTTCCCAAACTCCTCCTAGGGATTGGAAGAATGGTATTGTTAGTCTTATATTTAAGTACTGTAAAAGACTAATCTCGTCTAATCACGGATTCAATGGTATAACTAGCATAGCGGTTCAGATATTTTCAACGCAATATTGGGACAAGTAACCAGATCATATGGAGTCATATAATCTGTTAACTTCTAGGTAACTCGGCTTTTGGAGCATACATTCATGTCTGACTAACTTAGGGATTAAAAAAGAGGGTTGGACAGCAGTCTAAGATGGCAGATTGGCTATCGATGTAATGTTCACAGATTGTGCCATGGCATTTGATAAGGTGTTTTATTTAGTACTTATTCAAAAGTCCTCCAACTTCTAAGTAACAGTAACACGTGTGAGTGGGTAAGAAACTTCACCTGTTACCGGGGACAGAGAAGGAAAATAAAAGAGACACTTTGTTGGTAACGACCAGTTTAGAGTGTTGTGCGTCAAGTCACTATCTTGGGCATCCTATTTCTTCTTCATAACGTCAATGAATTACCAAGACCACCTAATTTGCTGACACTCGTTTAGAGATGTTAAAGTCTGAAAAAGAAATACGTAGTAAGGCTGACAAATGTTATCTTCAGATTGATTCAGACAACTCGGTTGAGTGGTCCTGAATTTATGATTTGGAGATTAATTATAGCCGCTAATTAATTATTGCCGTGTCCAGTATACCATCAGTAGTACACTGCTTCCACAGGTATACGCAAAAAGGACCTAAGCTTTCTAGTCATGACTGAAAAACAACTAGGCATCGCAGTTTAGCAGGTGCCAAGGGCTTTGGATAGTTAAGGGTCACTTCGCTGAGCTTTCAAATGCTCGACCAAGACATGTTTAGAATTTTATACCTCACTTAGAATATTGCATTTAAACGGCTATCCCGCGTCTTATTAAAGATACTAAATTCTTATACGATTAGTGATTAAAGCACAAAAATGAAGGATAGTGACATGGATATTCAGGGATTGACAACGCCTTTACACGTAACACCTATATAATCGAAGGATACCAACCCATTCAAATCAGCAGTTAGGGATGAATGAGTTCGAAGATATATTTGGTAAGGTTGTCGATGTGCTGATAGGCGTTTCATCTAAGCTGGCCAGTAGTCGCATGGGATGCGTGGCATGCCCACTCGTGATCTGGTGCAGATGCGTGACCGAGAACATTCATCCGGAGTGTGTCCAGTAAAACTAATGAGGCCAGTATCAGTATCTAGGACATACAGGACTATTTATGTTGGAGACTTATTTACCGCTACAAACGCTTGCACTCTGTCCCCTTATCCTATCGTAGAACACTAAATGACCTCATATTGGTATTTCGTGTCTTAAATACCGATGAGTGTCAACATATCTTGTCATGTTTCTCCATCAGAAGCTAATCATCTTCGAAACCCTCACAAGAAGGTTCAAAAACCACCACCGCTTTTTTCGAGCCGCCAACGACTAAAATGTCTCATTCAAACAATTGTTATCAGTCAAAGCAGTAAGCACTTTCAAGAGGGAGTCAAGTTCTTCCCGGAAATCAAGCTGCAAGCATTAAAAAAAAGTCAATTTACATACAATCCTAACTACCTAAGACTGAGGCTGTGAAGGTCAACTCAGGACTACCATTTAAAAACTTAAGGGTGCGGTGTATTTCATTGTCCTGAGCTAGTTAACCTGTCTCTATATCAAATCAACTAGTTATTTTACTCCTCCATACTCTCTTGATTTGTTTCGCATAATCATCCAGCTAAAATTTTCTTTTTTGAGTACAGACTGCTGTTCTGCTGACTAATTAATATTTTTACTTCATATGAAGTAAAAATGAAGACTGCAGTCTTCACTTATCGACAAGTCTTAATTTACTCAATGAATTCAGCGTCCTGCATGGTCAACAGACTTATTACTTAGACCATGCTTATTGGTTTTTTAGGTGTCAGATGATTATCTAACACCTAGGGGCTTTAAAATCCCAAAAAACAATAAATGTACTATGTACTTATGAAAGTGTTTACAAGCTAATCAAGTATTCCTTTTTAAATATAGATTACTGCTCTGTCCACTTACGACTTACTGGTTACAACCGGTCCTTACTGGATTTCAGCGACCCACTTTATCAGGGTGGCTGCATAGTACTCTTGGTGAATGGCGAAAGGTCGTCTTTCTGGCTCTGACTCGTCGGACAGTGATGACGAAGTGAAGGTAAGTACTTGAGCAATCCGAAATATGAAACTTTACGGTATTTAAACTAATGCGTATCCAAATGTTTTTTCCAGTGGCTACAATCACGTCACAAGCACAGGAAGACCTCGGTTCCGAGCGATGAGACAACACGTGATTCAAAGTCAGGTGGAATTGAGGAGGGTGAAGTATCTAGTGATGACCTCGATGAAGACGAAGATGATGGCCTGGATGACAACTTAATCGGTGGGGAAGATGATAAGCGTCGGTTGGCGAAAATGAGTGAAAAAGAAAGAGAAGAAGAGCTATTCAAGAGAGCTGAGAGAAGAGATGCCATACGAGCCCGCAAGGCTGTAAAACAAAAGCTAAAAGAAAGACGAGAAAGAGAGAAAGCTCAACAGGTAGCCTCTTTATCCAAGCAACTTACCGGGGATTCAAAATCTAAAAGATCTGCTTATCACAACGTATTTTCAGACAGCGATGAGGCAGAAAATAGTGATTCAAGTGGTCTTGGACCAAAAGGCCTTAGACAACGTAAGATTGCCCTGGAGAAAAAGAAGGTATGTTTTTCTGTTTGCTAAACCTGATTTCAAACCGCTCGCTTTTGCTTTGTTGCACAATTTGTCTTGATAGGTTACTAGTTATCAATACATTTTATTATCTTTTTTTCTTGTAAAACTGTGATCATTGGGAAATTCTTTTTTAGGTGGCTCACAGGGATAAATTTCAGGAACTCATCGAGCGTCGCAAACAACAGGCTGCTAAAAAGCGTCGAACTCATACATCAGACGAAGTGGATATATCCGCCCAAAATAGTTCTGGGAGTTCATCAGATAGTGATGATAATAGTCCAAAGCCACGTGGCAAAATTCAGGAGAAACATCAGTCCATGTCTCAGCGTGTTTTTTCCTCAGAAGCATCAGACTCTTCTGATTCAAGTCGACCTGGTTCGCGTCCTGTAGCTCGACGTTCAAGGTTGGTTGTCAAATAGTTTGTAACCTAAATTCCGTTTTGTATGATCTCGGTATTATTTATACTAAGTTCCCTCTCTTAATCCCACTTCACCTAGTTAATATAACATCTTAAATCAAATAATTAAGTAATACCGTCCTTAAGAACTTACGCACTTTCCATTTCCACCCCATTTGGAGTTAAAAAGTAATAATATCATAGCCTTGCTCAGGGATCCGTACTACGATGATTCATGGCATATCCTGGTAAAAATGAGTTAAATGGAACTTTGAACCCATGAATCTGATGTAAGCCTGAGTTTATTTTCTTGGGAGTTGTGAATTTGTTAGAATCTTTCGCTGTTTAGTTTTCCTTAGATTGAAAGTAGTTCAGCGAAGAAAATTTTCTTTCCTACAGTGTCATTTTCCGAAACTGTGCAATCGTATTTATACCGATTTCTCGGATAAAGTAGTCTGTTGAAAGGTGGAGGGACTACACAATAGCATTTAGGTAACTTCATGTGTTGAAAGAGGACCACGTGATGAACAAGAAGTCGAAAAACGACAGTCTAAAACCGAATAGATGAAAGATAGTTGCCCACTTGACAAGGATGACGTGAAAGTGAAAATAGTAATTAAAATTTCAGGTGGTTTGGGGTAGTCTTTCGGAAACTCGGGGCTCAGGTTTCATGATACTTGGAACCCATCAGTAACTTGTACCTGTAATCTTGCCGAAACTGGCGGATTCGATCTTTGTCATTTAGCGTCACAGCCTGGGGTGTTTCTACTGAGCTGTTCGGGGCTGCAATGTTGTGTCACTTAGACTAGTGTCCATATTGTAACCTGATGGATAGAATTAAATCGGCACTAAAAGAGGATTAGACAAACATGACACTGGTAGCTACTCAGTGATCAGTCAGTCGTAAGTTACTAAAAACTTTAAAAAAACTCGGAAGACAGTACTAACAAATAATCTACCGAGTATGGAAAATTGAGTATTAGTACCACGGTAGGATGAGAGCTTGGAAGTGTCACTTCTGTTCACATGGTTTTAATTTGAAACGATGATTTGCTAACACCCTACAATGCATAGGTAATTGATCTATCTCTCCTTCGAACCATATCGTTTAAACATATAGATACTTGTAAAAACCATCTGGTGCGGTTATGTAACAGGAATCTACAAGATGTTCCGGTATTGCGCTGTTGATTGTTTACCTTCTTTGGAAAGCCACGTGGTAATCCTCGGAGATGAGTTTAGAGAACGTTCACTCTGTGCAGTCACTGTAACCTGTTCCATAAGAGCAAGGGGACTTATAAATGTGCATTCGTGTATCCCAAGGTGAAAGTTTATTTTCGACACATCCACGAAATACAGTCGATACAAACTCGGCTCATTTGGCTTTGTTGATTTAGTTACAGACTTCAATGTAACTTCAAAGAGAATCTCCGACCTGACGTAGTAGTCAGGCTTGCCTATCGTGATGACTTAACCGAGCTGTATTGGCTGGAACACGTTCCCTTAGGTCTTACTATGTCAGACAGATCGGTTGAAGAGCGGTAAGACTAAAAGCAGCAACTTAAGGTCCTAAGACGAAGTCGTACTGCTGACTGTAGAGAGGCGTGACAGCAGTAAGGTGTTTCCCGAAGAGAACCAGCATCTGTAGCGATATCGCCTTATCACGAAGGGAGGAAGGGGTCAGAAAAGGTCGACCCTGATAATGCCACACCACCTTACCCCATAGATCTCCTTCGGCGGTAAAGCCTCAGGTGCGGAGCTAATACGACGAAAGCTTCCCATAAAGATACCGTACGCTATCGACGTCAAGCATTTATGCCTTAGTCTTTGCGATCGCACTTCCAGGTCGCACAAACCATTACTAATTCAGCTTCTTTTTCAGGTCTCTAGAAGAAATATCTACGATGTGGGTGACCGTGAAGTGACAACCGCCCTCATACCTCTATCGGCAGTCGAGATCCTATTGTTGACTTTAAAATCCAGCCCTCACCTCTAAATAATTCTTCCGTCTATACGACTAACCCTTCTCGTATATCTTCATCACTACACGCCACCAATGAGTTTACGAAATGTTATTCCTGGTCACCTGAAACCACTCTCGGAACTACATGTTGGAGCTTTTATTGTTCGAACCTTGTATCAGATAAGACAATAAGCTTTAGCCAGGACTCTAAAATCTCGGTATGATTTTCAAAAAGCTGTGAAAATAGCAGTGATATCTACCAGTAGCTTAAAGCAAAAGGTTAAGAGAAAGCAGTGGGTTTCAGCGGCGTCTAAAGAATTGATAGGTGCTCGAAAACATCCCGTCTGGGTCCGAACACGATGAGGAGCAGAGGCAACTTAAACACGGGCTGATCAAAAGCCTATATAATGAGCGTAAGTAGTTGTAGGTAGCGGAAGCAGAATAGATAGAAAAGGCAGCAGCGATAGGTAGAAATAGACAATTGTTCACATTTATTAAGGAAACAGGTATTAAAAATCCGTCTGTTAGTGAAAAGGACCAAACTATTATTTACTTTCAATCTAGAAGATTGCCCTACTGGACAGAACACTTTAGTGAACAGTTCAGCTGGTTTTCAATCACACATCAGTTGCCAAATATCTCCAAGCAACCTGAATGCCAACTTGACGCAACTCATCCAGCCCTTATTGAATTTGAAAAGGCTATAAACAATCTAAAGAAAAGGAGAGCAGGCGAACCTGACTAACTGGCTACTAATTTTTCAAAATGGTAGTCCAGGTTTAGCAGTTAGAATAATTGGAATCTTAGCTAAAGTGGACGCAATCCCATCTAACTGGACTTGATCTCTGATTTTCCCAGTTTATAAGAACGGACATAACTCCTCTTGTCACAATCACAGAGGAATCATTCCAACTAATATAGTGTCTAAAACATTAGTCTCAATAATATTTCGACGTCTAACTAGAACTTGTGAAGGGTGAATTCGAGAAAACTAGACCGGTTTCAGTCCTGCACGTGGATGTATAGACCGAATACTCACCATTCGGTAGGTTCTGGAACATAAGCATACTTTTCGACGTCCGACCATAGTTGTATTCTTTGACCTTAAGACGGTGTTCGACTCTCGACTGTGAGGTTTTATGGTATTGTCTCATTGAAAGGCGTACTAAAGGATTACATTAATCTTAACAGCCTCTCCACTCAAACACTACCGGTCGAGTCAGAAGTTATGATGAACTGTCATCGTAATTGGTTACTTCAAGTGGTGTTTGTCAGGGTTATTTGCTTTCTCCATTTAACTTTCTCATAGACATGTTTTCAGAGATAAAACTTTCACCGTTCAACATACCAGGGATCAGTCTTCTACCAGGAAATTCCCTTGTTGGTTTAAAATAAGCAGATGATATTGTTATGTTTAGTGAAAATGTAGTCTTCTGGCCACCTTGAGCAACAATGCAAACATGTTTGGGATGCGGTTCTCCCTCGTCAAATGCAAAATTTAGCTTCAGGATTGGCTTGCGCCAGCGCCTATATCAATAATAGGATGTGAAGCAATCGAGCTTATCGATCGCTTCACTTATCTTATGAGTCTTATCAGTCCTGATGGTTTGGTGTCTGACAAAATCTCCGCATGGATTCAGAAGGCTCGATTTGCTTTTTCCAACTAACGTCACTTATAGCGTAGGCGTGACATCTGTTTGTCATGTAAATGACGAGTTTACTGCACTGCAGTTTGCTCCGTCCTACTTCATAGTTATGATACATGGTCATTAAGAATAGGTATCCGTAGGCTACTGGTATTCGGTCATACGCGTCTTCGAATCATTGTTCGTGTATTTTGGGACCACGGAGTAAGTTATGTCTGGGTTAGGAATATGGTGTTAGGTAAGAGTGGGAAGTCGGTTGATGAGGCAGTAAATTTTCACCAACTGAGGTGATTGGGCACGTGTTACGTGTGCCGAAGACATGGCTTCTGTCTATGAAGTCATAGGTGCTGACTGTCTGGCTGAGGTCCGGGTGATTATCGTAACCAATGGTTTGAGAATTTGAATGACATGACTCAAAATCGTCTGCAATGGCGCAGATGCATCTATCCTTCGTCTTCAACCAAACTCTGAGCTTCTGAATTTCTCATAACACTTCTGTTTTTACTTCATTGATTTATTTGTCCTTGAATCATATCTTCGATGCTTAATCTTTCCAATCACCACTCATACTGTTAATGCCTCTACTAATCTGGGATTCAGTCTGAGAATTTCATCTCTGTGTTAATGGGGTATGGCAACTTGAACCGATGTACACACGTACCAGGTTCTACATGGTGACTGACTGACAAAGAAAACAATATCATTTGTTGTGGATTCATTTTTCACAAACGTTCTCCTAATGAAGATGGTTTTTTATGTTATGATGTCGAAAGTAGTAACCCTAGTGTTAGTGTTCCGAACACTGAAACGTTCACAATGGCTTGCATCCATTGACGTTATTTTCCGCTCTATCTCGTTTCAATATCTCTTTATACATACTTTGCCACTGCATTTTTGACCTTTCTCAAGGTTTAGTCTTTCTTTTTTCATTACGATTAATTTATTCTGATCGCTTCCTCAATTCATCTTGTTATTCTCATCTTGTTGTGCTGATCACAACTTGGGCTAGCTCATTTATGTGTCAGGTTGTGTTTATTAATGTCCTTTTGTCTGAAATGCTAACTAAAGGAATTACTCCTACGCTATACCTTCATTGTTTACTCTGGATTCGGTAGTGATTTCTGTAGATGAACTGATGGCGTAGAGATGGGTCTACCACTGAGCCCTACTCTAGCTAATTGCTACATGACTAATTTTGACCATACAGTACTTAAATCTACAAGCGATAGCCTTCATTTATACAGACATATGTCCATCATTTGTGATGAAAATATTGACCTTATTGTCATCGTGAATAAATTCACTAGTTATGGTCAGTCAGTTAAATATATGTAAGAAACTGGTGAATCTGCGATTTCAATTCCTTGATGTTTTATTAAAAAGAAGTCTAGATGATATCAGCCTTATTATTTGCCTATATGGGCTACTGACGAGTCTTAAGCTGTACGATAATAGTGCGTTGATTTCAGTCACTACATCCATAAATATCACAATAAAAGTTAGGGAAGAATTAAAAGGTTTTAGAAAATATTAAAATATGATATTGAGTTTTTGTTTATTGTGTGAATTAAATGTCTTCATTTGTTTCATTTCAGCTTACAACCTTATCTCCGTTTTTTAGGACTCAGAACCAGTTTCTGGTTAGCATTGATTAATAGTCAGGAAATTCACGGATTGTTGTCATTCCGCTCTTATTTTAGGTTTATTGGTGTAATTTACTGGATTCTGTATCAGATTTAGTGAGAGAACAACCTAACACCTTAACTATCTTAGATAATGTATCAGTCATAAGGGATTATTCTACTAGAGTGAAACAACATACTCCTAAGTTTTATCGCTATATCCGGACTATTGGTCTTTATCAAAAGTACTTCCCAAAACTATCATTCGTTTACCAACGTTGAAAGAATAAGGAAAACAAGGTGAACCCCTAAAATTCGAACATTGGGGTACCGAATAAAGTGCTGTGGAAGGGTTAAATAAAAGTAATATTAAGTGTTATTAAGTACTATTAAGCGTATATAAGATTCAGGTGGCAGTATATTGGGGGCTTCTAATTACTTTTATTTGATAACTATTTCTTGAACAAACATTTTCATTGTTCATTTCACTCAACTTTATTCAGAGTATTCTAGTCGTTGAGGCATGCCTATTTTCTCTTAAATTGTTTCGGTGGGTCTCTAAAACTATGATTTCCTCTCTTTTTTTTAGTTTTTCCAGTTTGTCAGGTTCACAGCGATCTGGTTCTTCAAGTGAAGATGACGCTAGAGGCAGAAGTCGTTCACCTGAAGAGGAACTAGTCTCCTCTGTTGAGCATCTATCTCGTATTCGGTTGTCACGTTTTAAAATGGAAAAGTGGGTTCACATGCCGTTTTTCGATGTGAGTTTCTCCACATCCTACATGTGTTATCACGTATGGTAAGATGTTACTGAATTTATTATGGGTATCATAAGATTCAAGGTATGACATACTACATTTATCTTAAAATAATTTTAAAGTGAAAACTTAGTCAAACAAGCTTTGAAAAGTAAACAATTTCATCTTTTATGTAGTGCATTGTTAATAACCTCTAAATCTTGTGAATGTGTAAAAGACAAAATGTTTTGAGTATGGTTTGTGTATTTTTTTTAGATTGACTTCATTATTATTTCGTTACTCAGTTTAGTGGGATGTGTGAAATTAACCAACTAATATTTCCAGTGTGTTTTTTATAGACAGCCTACTTGTTATACTGGTTTCTTCGATCAGTGTTATGAACTCTCTTATTGCAACCCAGCTACTGTTATTAGTTAGTATTCTTGGAAACTACTTGACTCGACAAGTTCCTAAATTAGAGCGTAGTTGAACAGGAACGTAATTATATTCCGAATAAACAGAGGTAAATGAAAGTAGGGATCACTATAAGAAAAATGTTAGTATATTTATTGTTTTTATGCGAAAAGATTCAAGAGTCTTCTCCAAGTACCTGCTAGCGCTGATTGGCTAAGAAATAGCCAATCGTAGGATTCGGTGTAGGATCTGGTGTTAGGGTCCACCTAAGACCGCGTGACTGGTCTGTGCTTTCGATTTGTCCATCTAGGTAATGAAGAAGTGTTGTCACCCCTGCTAACAATCAGTAAAGTTCGTTCAATTTTAATTGTCATCTGTTGACTGTATATTTAATAACAATATTTTTAGGGGAATTGTTATTAAAATACGGTTAGAATTTGTAGCATTTAAAAAATATATGTTTATTTGGTTGGCCATAATTTATAAGCCTTGCTAGAATTAGTCTTCATACATGTAGCCGTAAATGACTGTCACTTATTTTTTTATTTTTCTTCCTCAGAACTTGATAAAAGGATGTTTTGTACGTATCAACATAGGATTACATCAAGGTGTGCCGATTTATCGTTGTGCTGAAATTGTGGATGTCGTGGAAACTCCTAAAATATACGATCTTGGTGACACTCGGTACATAAATTTCCAAGTGTTTTCTGGTTATATATATATAAACTTATTAACCGATTATAGTTACTGATTTTCATACATTCACAGTTTTCTTTCTACATATGCTTCTTTATTACTCCTTTTGTGTCTGGAATAAGTTAAGTGTATGTAATGTATTGAAGATCAAGAAATAAAAAGGAACTGTCAAAAGTGAAAGAATTATACTGCATTTAAGATGTAGTGAAAGATAAGTAATGAATATATCCTCATCACTACATATGATTTTTTATTGTTACTTGAGATGTCCAATAATTAATTGAAATTATGTACTGAACCCCAACTAGTAATCGTGTATTTTGATCTCGGCAACCGGGTAATATTGTAGTGAACGAAGTACTCAGGTGGGGAAGACCAATTTATTGTTTAGTGCGAAATTACAGAGTTCCTTCGTAAAATATGAAAACTGTACATTAAATATATTATTTGGACATCTTCCTTCAGTTGTTTTTTACATGCTTCATGATTCTTTTAATTCTGTTGTTATTACAATTGCTCTTTGTCTACATTCCTGTCCTCTTCAATTCGATCTTCTCAATCTTCTGCTACCAGGTATTCCACTTCTGGTTAGTGCTACATACTACTTATATCTGTCAACATAAGTAGCATACACCACAATATTATTAGTCCTTACATTTATTGTTTCTCACATTCAAGTCCCTTATGAATGAGTCAGTTGTTTTTCTTCGAAAAAATTCGGAAACACAATTACATCTGATAGCAACATCTCACACAAAATACAGAGTATATATCGGATTTATGTTCACACGTCAATATTTCGTTTCATACACGCTTTTAAAATTGAATTTTCATTTAGAAAGATGTTTTTTGCTCGATCTATATTCGCTACACTATATATATTTATCAAACGTCCTGCATTTTGTAGAACTAATAAAGGAATTGTAGTTCGTGTTGGAAAAGACCAAAGTACATTTCGTTTGGCGTTCATTTCAAACTCTGATTTTCAGCAAGATGAATTTGACAGCTGGATGCGGCGAATACATCTTGCGAACATGAAACCTCCGACTTTGAATTTTGTCCGAGATAAAGCTGCTGAAATTACTGAAGCAATAAATCGTCCTATTCGAGATGAACGCGTGGTTGAACAGGTTTGTTTCACATGTGCCTGTATTAATTTTATTATGATATGATTAACGAATTATTTTATTGCGTGAAATATACATATACGCGTTAGATATTCAACAAAGATTTTTGTTATTTTGCTTGTTTTTTGTCACCTAGTTTCACTATTAATAATGGTCTCGTCCTATATCAGTGGCAAGAAGTATAAACGTGTACTCACTTTAAGGTACTCTTGATACTATCTATCAGTATTCTGGTTCGCCGAAAAGTGACTCGTATGATGCTTTGCTATTAAGTATTGGCGTAATTCTGTTGATCAAAGAATTTGATGAGGCTAACTAGTTACAAAACATCAGTTGTCACTGTGGTTATTTGTCTGATATCTCAAGATCTTTTATTAGCAGTCATGTAGTTTTTTTTTCGGTAAAGTGTGCTTTCGATCTTGTGAAAAGTTATTATCTTCTCGAGGTTTGGAGATACTTTCATTTCTACCAGATTCTTATCAAAATCTACATTTGAATATATTATTATTTAATTTACATAGTAGCTGCAAACTGTTTAATTGCAATCAGTCACAATTAACTTATAACCTAATGAGAATATGCATTAGCCCAAGTCCTCATACCACGTTAATATGGCCATTTAGTCAGTCAGTCACCATGTAGAACCTGGTACGTGTGTACATCGGTTCAAGTTGCCATACCCCATTAACACAGAGATGAAATTCTCAGACTGAATCCCAGATTAGTAGAGGCATTAACAGTATGAGTGGTGATTGGAAAGATTAAGCATCGAAGATATGATTCAAGGACAAATAAATCAATGAAGTAAAAACAGAAGTGTTATGAGAAATTCAGAAGCTCAGAGTTTGGTTGAAGACGAAGGATAGATGCATCTGCGCCATTGCAGACGATTTTGAGTCATGTCATTCAAATTCTCAAACCATTAATTACGATAATCACTCGGACCTCAACCAGATAGTCTACGCTTATTAACACTACTCAATCCAATTGTCAGTGACTGCGTTTAGTCGTGAGATGATGAGAAGAGGTTAACAAGTTATGTAGCGTCGAAATCTAAATCATAATCGTATTAATGCTAGTGAAAAAGGATAAACATTAGACAATACAATTCAAAGAGAAAACAAATTAGAGAAATAAAAAGTATGATGTAATACTGAAGTTCAAAACTTAGGATAAGGTAAAGAGTAAATACGTGTACGTCGCTGTGTTTGATTATTAACTTTTTCATCCATTGTATCCAACCATGAATCACAGTTATCGTGGGCATCCCATCAGATACTTTAATGTTTATTCTAGATTCAAATTGAATTGATCAACGTTCAAGTGAATTGGCTAAAAGGTAGCAGCATAAATAAGATATGATGCAAATTAGTAAAATACCAAAAGCGAAACAAAAGACAAACTTAGACCTAGCGAATACATATTTTGTATTCATCAGTTTTAAGTCGAGATGGATGGTAGGTAGCAGTGAAGTCCGGAATTCATGTTTTGTCTTATTTGGGACTGGCAATCTGGATGTAACTGCGTTTCAGAGTCGATGTTCGTCCCGCTACTCGATCCCAGTACCGTTCTCTCGAAGCGTCATCGCATTATCCTCTTATCTACTGAGTTCACATAACAAATGCGTGAAGTTTATTTCATCTTGTATTTGTTGTTTGGATGTTCCGATTGACGTTTAGAGCTGTCTCTTTGGCATATGTGGATCCTGTACGAAGCAAACGACACTGGGTTAGAGTCCCGGAGTAGATATGAACTCTGAGATGCGGGTATGTCCAGCTGATCAGTCTCAAACAGGAGGAAACACGCGTCATGGATTCCACTGCTAGCCACCATCCATTTCGGCTTAAAATACTTGTGATTTGAAGCAATATGGAGGCAATCCGCACAGGGTGCACATGTCTCAATAACATTTTAATCAATTACAATACAAAACATCAATGAGTAGATTCGAATAACGAATACATACGAAATAAATATTCATCGCTTTAAAACTGTTATATATGAACCTTAAATGTTCCTACTGGGAAGTTTATTTTCGAGTTTTACACTTTTTCGATAACTAGTAGTAGTGATTTTAAGCTTCATAACTTCAGTGATCATTACTTTTTTGACCATATATGATGTACATATCTATCGAGTTCTGGTTTTACAGTTCAGTGTTTTGTTTACCCATATATATGGATAGATTCTCAGCGTACTAAAATTTTAGCTAGTTTCATAGCTGCAAGCTGATCAATAATAGTTGAACAAAGGGCAGGGAAAAAACGTCTATTTGTAAAATTACTTATGGTGGTCAAGAATTAAGTGTGTTCCTAATTTATCGGCTAGTTAATGATTAACGCGACTATTATCTTCTAGTCGCCAGTGAATTCTAATAATTTTTCTCACTAATTATAGAGAGAAGAAAAGTCTTTCTTATGGCTAGTGATCCTTTATTTAATATCAATCTATCAATCGGTCACATCATATCATTGCCATTTTATCTACCAAGCAGAATTCTGTTTATTTTAATTGTTCTCATAGCATGAATTATTCTTGGCTGTAATATATTACTACCTATGTTTAAAGTAGGTGTTACCTTTCACTTTTTGTAGTGACACATTGATAATTTTTTATGGTCTTTTTTTACTTCATAGATCATACAATCCAAACGTCGTTTTCAGAAAGCTCCAACAAATTTTGCTTTACGCAAAGCGGAATTGATCAAACAACGAGAGCAAGCAGAAACAGATGGAGATACAGAATTATTGAAACATTTAGATAGTGAAATAGAAGAAATTGAATCTCAAGCTGAACGGATTGAGAGACGTCGAACTTTAGGTTTTAAATCAATTACATCTATAAATCAACGTAATCGTGCACTTAGTGTACAACAAGCTGAAGAAGCTATTCGTAAAGAAAGTGAAGAAGCATTGAATTCCAAGGAAGAAGATCCATTTACACGTGTTCATTCTCAACCGGTAATTGTCACAAAGAAATATTTGGAAAACTTACGTCATAAAAGAGTAAGAATTGTATGAATTAAGTTTTTTGGGTGCTAATGTTTTAATATCGAAGCTATCCTGGATCTGTTCATATGTTTTTTTTTAAGAAAATTTCTGTGAGTACAGCGCATTTCATCTAACATTATGTCTAATTTAGTACGTTATTCATCTAACAATTACATTCTCTTATCTCTTAATTGTTCGATTCATGAATAACTATTATGTAATCAAGCAACAGAATATTAATGGTTTTCATTTGTTGAAAAAGAGTAACATGTATGGTTTTTGTGTAACATTTAAAGGAAGAATTATTTTCAAATAATGAAAAGAATTTGGTAACCTTTTTCCATGGTTTATCTATGTGTATTAAATTATGGAAATAGTTCTAAGGAAACTAAAATGTATTTTATTATTCAATTATTTAAAGACAGTATGTAATGTATTCAACAAACCTAACTATCAAAAGATATCTGAATAATTGTAACTTGCTATTTCGTGTTACTTATATCAAGGTTTCCATTCATTGAATGATGATCAAGGTTAAAAGAGTATCCAGGTTCTTAGTATTTCAAACAAATGGCTTCTCAATCACTGATACTTGTAAAACAAACATTGTCAAAGTTGGTAGTGACTTTTACTTCTGATCAACTATATTAGAAAAAAACATAAATTCATTAATCTTGTAATTTATTAAAGATATCAATTGACCATATATAGGTTAAGCATTTTTCGGTATCTCAGAAATTTAACACAAAAATAAAGGTCATCTTTTAATAATAATAATGGATCAATTTATCTACAAGATATTAAAAAAGTCAACAGTTTAGATTTATTAGAATATCTCAAATTACTTTGAACTCTCTTCTTCTTCTATTTCTTCTTCTTCTTCTTCTTCTTCTTCTTCTTCTTCTTCTTCTCCTGTATGTTAAAAATATCCCATGTCTTTTTGTGAATTTTTTGTTTTTATCTGACTAGCTTTATCATTTTTATAATCATAAAGTAGTTTTACAAGTTGCATCGCTATACAATGATTCTAGTTTATTTATTTTTGGATAATCAGTTATACTGAAATCTGGGGTTTCATGCTTGCTTTGAGTGTGCATGTTTGGAAAGATAATTTCAATAAAATATGTTTTTAAAAAAAAAATTAATAAATACTGTTATGTTAGTGATAAAATAACAGTGAAAGCTTCTACTTATATCTCAACGTATGCCAATTGATGTTTGGTTTAGCCATCTCTTAATTAGAAAGACTATGAACTGTAGTTTATGAAACTTAGTAGACTTTTATGAGATCGCTTGCTTCTTTGAATATGAATTACATAGACACTAGATAATATGTTCTGATTACTTGGAGCAAATTATATTTAAGTATAAATATGATCTGTAAAGTGAATAGTAATGCCTGATACCATATGCTCAGGATTCAAACGGAACTGAATAAATGTAGTGTATTTTTATCTTAGTTATCAAATGATTCGTGTTCAATCGCGGATTATTGTCACTCCAGTCCTTCTAATCTATGTGAAGAAATCTACACTTCCTTCGCTTCGCTTAGACAAACAGTTAACAGGTTTTTGTATAAGTTTCGTTTCTTCAATTTCATCCACATTATTCTCATTGTAGCGGGTCAGTCTAAGTTGTGGTAGAGAAGATTCCTGATAATTTCTATGAATTAACAAAACTTCAGTCAAATCACGTTTTTTAACTACTAGTTCACTTTTTCTTTGTATTTAATGTATATTTTTAAACATTAATTTAAGGATTACGAATAAACATTTTGTGAATTTATACTAGTAAAAGTTGCCTAATGACTACTGTTTGGTTAATTTCATTACAGCTTGGAGTAGTAGCTCAATCAAATACTTCCTGTGATTTGAATCAAAGTTTTCCTCCACCACCAACTCCTGATTCAGAGCTAAGCATGTCATCTAAACATTCACTGTTGAATACACCAATGGGAAGTAATAGTATAATAACTGAAGCACCTGACTCAGTATGTTGGTCATTGGGAGATGATAATAGCAACTTATCCACACCGCATGATTCTCTTCATGCAATACATAATTTTGAAATAAATATTGATTTGGATTTGGACGGGAATAATGATCAGGCGAATTCCAACGGACGCACAGGATCAACTAATACTGATGTACGACATTCAACTAGTCCTAGATCACGTGGTACTACAAATTCTACTCATGATTTTACCAATGGCAGTCCCCAGACACCAATGAACGGTCCATTTGGAAAACCAAATCGTCGATTGTTAAATTTACAAGAGTACAAGAAACGTCATGGATTAATTTAATTCCTAGTTGATATGCAAATATTAGTATTTTCCTTATTCAAACATACTATCATTTATTGTTATTTTTTTCTATATGTGTATGATTAGTAGTCTTATCACACCGGTCGTTTAACTTTGTATTTGCATGTGTATGTATGTGTTGTATATAGACGTCTGTAAGCCCTTCCTTTATGCTTTACACCTTTTTTTGTGAAATGTACATAAGAGAAAAAAATTAATCGTAATCATCTCTTTATCAGTTTGCCTCTTACATGAATGGATTTTGTAATAGCACTTGTAATTCGTCAGAGGGATTCATGATCTCTGTCCATAGGTTCAAGAAGACGTGTATATTATATGTATCGGATGTTGTCTTACCTTACGGGATATGTATCAACTAGGTGCGCTAGTTTAGAACCGAACACACTATTCTTTACCAATAGGTTGGAACATGCTACAAAATGTTTTACGTATCCACCAGTTCGTGATAATTGTTTTGCTGTGTGGTTGAAATCGACATATGTTTTATATAGTACAACAGTCTTTCTGTTTTAATCGGTATGATACTTTTTAACTAGTTCGGTGATATGGTGTCCGAAATGTCATATTTTTAGAATGATTTGGCGCATAAATGTGAAAACCACATTCCTATAGAATCATATGTATTCTCAAATCTCAGTCTCAAGTTTTAAGCTTACGGCGGCCTGTTCAGACGTCTTAAGCCCTCTATTTCCTAACCGAGCGAATATTGTAATAAATTTTTTGTTTAAACCGAATAATAATGAGTCCTAACTGTATGTACTAACGTGGATTTTGAAAGGCTTACAATTTATCACAATACTAAATACGGGAAATCTGTTACTGAGACGTTGCACTTCCTCGTTTACTCTTTGAAAAAATGTATTTGGATCCATGCGATTATTATCTGATATATGAATAAAATATAAGCTGGCTGTAAAATTTCATCATTGAAGATGAGTGGCAGATATGACTATTGGAAAAACATTTACTAAATATAATTTTTAAATAACTACAACTTGAATGTACGTTAAGAAGCGGTTGCCCCCAAATGCCGGAATACGGTAGAGAGTGGAGAGTTCGCTCTCCCTCTCGAAATGCCCTCACATGGCCACGCGTATATAGCCTCTGCCAGGGAAGTCCTACTCACTGCCTTCTCGTGGCGGGGGTGTTATAAAATTGAGAGGACGGAAAGCGAATGTCCGGCGCTTTAACTGGGTTGGTGGGTATGGAGGATCCACCTAGAGTAGTTGGAAAACCCCGATTCCAAACCAATGGTGTACATGAGCTCCAGGATCCTGAGTGGAAAAATGGCATATGAACCAATTGTTTTCACCGCCTACCATGGAACTGCATATCCTTACGGTCTCCACTGCCTTGTGGATCAGACCTTTTGGTCAAGGGCTCCTGGTGTGGCCCCCTAAGAAAATCACCTGCTTTGGTCTTGGCACCCGGACAGTATCACAGCCCTCACAAATCTAATGAGATGACAATTATTTCACGAAATACTATGCTCGCTTCAATTAGAATTCAGACATTTCATATTCACACCATTCCTCTTAAGCTTCGCCATCGATAACTTTCCGGAAACAGCTTTGATGGATGTAAGTAATGATGGTGTGGGTCTGTTGCCTACAGAAAGACTTCTCGACCTTGAGTATGCGGATAATATTGTCTTGCTGTGCGATAATATCCAAGCCATGCAATCAGCACTTAATCAGTTGGCAATTAGTGTCCGTAGGTATGGTATGTGCTTCGCACCTTCGCATACTTTTACAAGGCTGGCAGGACCGTGATCATGTACTCACCCTGGATGGTGAGCAGCTAGAAGTAATCTAGAAGTTCGTATATCTGGGTAGCTGCATAAGTGCTGGTGGTGGCGTGAGTGATGAGATCAATGCACGTAACGTGAAAGCCAGAGCGACTTATGACAGTCTGGACCATCACTGGCGCCTTCGTGTTGTCAGTTTGGTTGTAAACGGTCGGATCTGCAACGCGTCGGTGAGAGCAGTTCTGCTCTATACTTGTGAAACCTGACCTCTCCGAGTTGAGGATGTTAGACGATTCTCTATGCTTGATCATGGTTGTTTCCGAAGGATTGCTGACATCCAGTGGCAACACCATGTTAGTAATGCAGAGGTTCAGCATCATGTGTTTGGGCACAGAGACGATAATTCAATTGGTGTCACTATCTTGAAACATCGACTTCGGTGGCTTGGACATGTTCTACGAATGTCGTCCCAGAGAATTCCACGTCGTGGATTATTTGCCGATTCTGGGACTGGTTGGGAAATGTGGAGAGGTGGTCAGTGTATGACATGCTGTCGTGGTATGAAAGAAATCTGCAAAGGGTTGGCTTTTGTTGGTCCTTCATGACTCCCTAGCTGGGGTCCGAGAGATGGTGCTACACAGTGGCTAGAGACGTTATCAGATATGGACATAAATTAGGTATCTTATTTATAATTTAACGACCGATTTGATAAGGTTTAGTGTGCATATGTGCTATTATTCTTTAATAAACTCTTTAAACTTAACAGTTATGCTCTAAATGTGTGAAGAAAATACTAGTCACGTTTACGACACAGGTATTTTAAAAAATAATGAGAACAGTTTGTGGTTTGCACTTTTTCATAGATATTTTACGGAATTTAGCCGGTCAACCAGTAGAATAACTTTGAAATGTTAAATAGTTAATAAGGATTTAACTAAAAGGCAGTTTGTGTATTGCTAGAGATTGTCCGATAATTTTCATAGGCTATTCATCAACCTTCACTAGCAAGCTTAGTTACGCTATACAAATTGATATGAGTGATATCAATATTAGTAGGAATAAAAGTTGTTATCCGCATACCTGAGGACGTTTCACAAATGTTATAACTAACAAGAGCATATTTTCAGCCATGGAATTACTTGTCATTCAGTTGATCGTGGATACAATGTCGTCTCAAAATCTTTCATAATAGTTAGCAAGCAAATGAATTGAGATTTGCTACACTTTAGTGTATCCAAAAAGATATTGGTTAATTTGGTTTTCTTCAAAGTAATAGCTGATTAAACTGGAGTTTTGTGGTTCTACTTCCAATGCAAATATTCCACATAATTTTTGGGTCATTTCCTGTTCACTACATTCCTATCAGTTCATTTCACACGTCTTGACACGAGCAATAAAATTGAGTTAGGCACAATATTTTTCAAAGAAATACTAATACAAAATAAATAGCAATTAAAGCATACGTATCATATGAAAGTCATATTAGGAACTTCAAACACTTGAATTATTCTATCCGTTCTGAGCATGGGAGCTTAATCATTAGATATCTATCAACTTAGCACGATTAATACCTTTCCTCAATTAATTAGTATAAAACCAATCCAGTGTCTATGTAGCAATTCGACATTTTATAGTATGTAACAGAATGCAGGCCATTATCTTTCTTGAAGAAAAAAGAAATATACCATATACTTGGATTCGTTTCGAATCAAACCCTGATGATACAAGGCTCTTTCTAATACTGTTTCTACAACGTAATTTTCAAACAGTCATTGATGCTCTCACTTATATTCAGTCGCGGGTAGCATACTTTTGTTTATTACACTTCATTCTCCTTTCATTGTAATCACAAGGATTTTGTGAAAGGAAGCGCTACTAAGATGAACAGGCCATGTTGGCCAAGCCTTTTCAAGAAGATTTTGGAGAGAAATCAAATGTCTAAAATGTTTGATAGTATTTTACATATACGTAGCTAGTTGACCATTAATGCAAAACTCCTCGAACAAATACGACGGCATGTACCTGGTGAGAAGCTAGAGTGTGTGTGTGTGCAAAAGTAGATTATTATGATATATCGGCAGTCATATCCTTGTGGTGCCTATACCTGACTCCATTTATATCATATGCTGATTGTTATAAAAATATAAATGCCACCGACCCCTGTTTATTATTATAGACTTAATTCCGGTTAACGAATAACGGAATAAAATAAATTAAATTCGTATGCTTCGTAAACTCATTGATATGAACATACATTTCGAGAAACAAAGTGAGGAAAGCGAAACAATTGGAGAAGGCTAGTGAGCCAACTCGATTTAATCAAACGCGACTCGATATTTATAGTCAGACAAAATTAAGTTACAGACACATAATGAATAGGGTAAGTAAATAACAAATATATACTCAAACAAAAACAGCCAGGGTTAGTAAGCGAATTAGTGACAAGGTCAAAATGTGGCTTGAGAAGAATGAATAGATTGGTCTGTCCAGAAGCTAGAATAACCTACGTGGTTTGACATAGTACCAGCCACTACAACACATTATTAACAAAGATATGTATTTACCATTACACTGTATAAACAGTTACGTCTATTAGTATAATATCTACTAATATAAAATGTATCTTGAACATCTGTAGTAGGTCTCGACTATACCCTGAATCAAATAGGAGTGGAATCCACTGCTAGATATAATCCAGTTGTGCTAAAAACACTATTCCTAACACGGTTATAATACAAATATTTTAACTACTAATGAGTAGTCTTGTTTGATAAATGTCATTTTGCGTAACACCATCTGTGACTAAACAAATCCTTTTTTAAAACAATTAGTCCCTTTGATAAATTTCAATAATGTAGTTAGGAGACGAAGATTATCAGAACTATGTGATAGGCTAAATAATTTGAAGACTAATATGAACTTTTAAACCAGGTTAGATAAATTTTGTAATGATCAATAATCTACAAGGGACTACAATAATAATCAGTCTTAAGAATTCATATCTGCTGGCTTTCAGTATTCGGGACTCTTGGACAGATTCTTTAATGGTCCTAGCGTTTAAAAGATGCAGATTTTTCTTTACTCAAAATTGTCATTTTTTTCACGTAGGTCCAGAACTGTGATACCGAACACTTCAAAACTCTAGTTACTTTGTGATTACACCATTTGAGCATATTTTGTGTTTTTTATACATTATTTATTAAAGTCAAATCTATACTTACAAAAATTGAGGACTACTACAGAATCTTTCCCAAAAATATTATTTTACACTAAACTAACGCCACCTTCAATTCACAATTTTATGTGCTACCTATTTTTTATTTTGTCAATCTGATCATGATCGTGAACCGATATGCATTCTCTGGTCATTCCCAGATGTATATATTATTATTGATCAGTATTGGGACTTTCAGTGACTTCAAACGTCATTAGACTAACCAATAGAAATGAATTGAATTCGCTCCTGAATA